CCCCCCCCCCCCCCCCCCCCCCCCCCAAATTGCCCATCTAGCGAGCACCTTCCGCCCCCTCGTGGGCACAACAAGAACTGCAGCGCTGGAAGAAGACAGCTGCTTTTTCTCCCCAACTTTTCCACCCTGTTCCCCCCCCAGCCCACGCCAAGAAGGGGATGGCTTCTTGCCAGCTAAGAGCTTAAGCGCTCCAACACCATCTCCTTTGTCACCCTGCAGGCTGTGCCTCCTCCCAGAGAAACGCCTCGGGTGGGGGGGAAGAAATAAACGTGCGTGTAAAGGCAGGGGGATGTAACAGATCTAAGCGAGGGGCCCAGGGCAGCTCTTGCACAATAAGCTCAAAGCCCTGGCCCTACATCCCCAGAGCTTTGCTGTCACCCTGTGCCCCTCTTCTCCCACTGAGATCCCCGTGGGAACCACCGAAGATCCTGAACAAGCAGAGAACAGAGACGTGAAGACATTTTGTTGCTCCCTGGCTAACGCCGGATGATCGCGCCCTTCGGTACTACTTCTATCCTGGCTTTAAAAGGACTGCAATGATGAGGCCGCCTTCCCTGGCTGTATGTGAAAACACAGACTGAAGGCTCATCTGAACCAGGGACTCCAGACTTCGTGTGAGCCGACGGACAAAGACACAGGGACGAGTAACACGACCGCCAAGGCAGGCACAGACACCCTCCCCATTAACCCAGCTAGAGGGAAGCGTCCCCAGCACAGACGAACCCCAACACGTCCTGCTCTAGCAGGAAGCATCCCGGTATCCAGCTAGTCTCTCTTTGCTCAGCCTCACACATTACTCCACGCTTCAAACTGTTCAGCAAAGGAATAGTTTGACACTATTCCTGTCCCAAACAACCTACAGGCTGGAGCACAGGAGCAGCACCAGACGAACTCCCCGCACCACGTATCGACACTCCCCATCCCATCCCAATGATCCACAACTTAGCCCGCAGATGCCGTCAGGTCACAGGCACAGACAGATGCGCATCTAGGGCTGTGTTTGCTCCCTCTCTTCACAGGTCCCTCTGAAGCAGATGGCAGACGCCAGGACAAGCTACAGTTTGCTTTCTGACATTACATACCAGCACAGCCTGAATTAACAACTTTATTCTTCCTTCGCCCCCTCTCCCTTCCCCATCACAGCCAGCCCTTCCAGCATCGCTGCTCTTCTGCTTTGGGCTTCTCGCCAATTTACCGCCGCTCAGCCGAGAGCAAAGTGCAACACAATGTCCCGTTCCAAAACGCAGGACAGGGAAGCCAGGCAGAGGGTACAGACAGACATGCCAATAAAAATCCTTGATCCACAGCTTCAGCAGATAGACACGGGCATCCTTCAGGGCCTCTCCTGCTGCAAACACCGCACGTCTTCTAGATTAATTCCCTACCCTGTAATCACGCCTTGGAGTCAGGAGTTCTGCCCCCTCGGTGCTGCTCTGCTTGGAGTCGAGTCTAATTGCCGCCTGCCCACAGCGCTGCCTTCCAACACCCACGTGAGAAGGAAGGCGTCCGCCCCCGAGCCCGGGGAAGCAGTCACAGACACCCGCAGTCACCTTATACACCCCAAAATTCCTCAGCGCAGCTTCCCATCAACCACGTTAAATGACAAGCGATAATGCTGGGATGGTCACTACCCAGCTGCTTCCATAGTCCTGCTGATTTTACTTTCTCAGCCTGTGCACGTTAATCAGCTCCTGCCTTGTTTTGACAAAGAGACCTGTCTTGGTTAGCGGCTAGCAGACAGCCCTGGTCCGTGGCTAGGACTTGCCCAGTGTGCTAGAACCACCAGGTCTCCTTTACTTGCTATGTCTCCGGATTTCCAGTTACTTCTGGGGCACTTCTCAAGGCTGAAGCCGTTTCTAACTCATGTTTCAGCTCTCTGCATTTATTACACTCCAGTTTCAGTAGTCTCCAGGTAGACTACACGCAGCACCGATCTCTTTGGCCAGATTATTAAGAGAGAGGGTAAGCTGGGACCCCAACTTGTGGTTGCTACACCGCTATCCCCAGTGACCAGCTTCAACGCTAGTTCCAAAGAGCAATATGTAAATATTCAGCTTACCTTGAGCTTGTTTTTCCAGGTAAGGTTTCAAGAAAAATCGTATCAGATGTTTTATCTAAGACCAGCCCCCAGAGCCCTCTCACTTGCGAAGCTCAATACTCCTACCACAGGATCAGGTTTATTCGGGCATCAACTCTACAAACTCAGGTCTCTTCCCTGCAGAGGACAGCACATTTTCTGGGCTCTCCTCCTCCTGCTTCCAACTCATTAAGTAACTTGCTACCTCTGGTCTGGAGAAGACTCAGCATTCAGTTTTATTTGTTGGAAACGCACTTCTCCCTGCTACGGATCCATTACTCGATCATACTCACGAGCCGTATCAGAACAAGGTCTTTGAAAAACAAACCCGTTTAATCCTTTCAGCTGTGTCACCACAGTTTGCTACTTAACTCAGAAGTTTTCCAAATGGAAACTACCTCTCCGGGTTTTGCTGTTTTCACCTGCAGGATTTGCTCACTGCTGAAGAGGTACTCAGCATGTCTACGAAGTAATTCACTCTCTGCTTACAGCTCAGCCTACATCAGGATGCAGCTTCTGGAGGCTTGCTGCAGTGCTCTGTCACGAGAGCAAGCCAATTGCTAGGATTGCTTCCCTTCCCCCTCTTCTCTTTTGGGATATGTATCACCTTTATTTAGCTTGTACAGCTCTCCCTCATTGCCCCTGGGAACTAGTCTATCTCCCCTGTTCCCTACTATTTCTGAATAAACGTCCCTTGAGGCCCAAGCAAGCATATTTGTTCATTCATTCCCTTAACGCACTGAGGCACACAAGCACGTACACGGACACGTGCTTAGAAAAGCCTCTCTTACCTGATTTGTATCAAAACCTCTGCAATTTGGAAGAAAAAAAAAAAAAGGACAAAAAAAGGACCTTGTAAGGCAACAGATTTCTAGTTAATTATTTCAGAATCAAGTCATTTCCAGTAGCGCTGCTGCACCATAGTAGCACTACTCTCTCATAAATTACTGGTTCTGCTTTGTCTTATTCTCCACCTGCATTCCCACAGACCTTGCTCCAAACAGCATTCGCAAGAGCTCTTCTTTCCCCTTTTTGGCTGCCATTCTGCCTTTTTATCGCCCTTTCTTCTGCAGTCTTCCAAGTGACAAGGCAACAGCAAGCCAGTTCATAGCACAGCTCTCCCAAGCAACACTGCCATAAACTAAAGTTTCCCTACTGGATGGGGAACAAAATGCGACAAAGGGGAACGGTCTGTTTTCAAACCACTCAGGGATAATTTACGAACAGGGAGGAGATCAAAAGAAACCCTACTCCAACTGTAGAGTTCAAGGAAGGGCAAAGCGACAGAATACCACACTGCTCGGCCCCTTCTTCCCCCCCTCCCCAAGGCTCCCCTTTACTCTCCTCTCCCTTACTTCTTCCTTCCCACCAACCTCCTCCAGTCTTTTCACCTTAGTATTTACGGCCACCCCGACTAGGGGTCCTTGCTAGCCAGCCACTGAGCCTGCAGACCGGGCTCTGTCTCTTAATAGCACTTGCTAGACTTTATTAGATTAGTTGGCGAGTTTTGCATTCCACACAGCGGAGCGCCGAGGGAAAAGCAAAATAAAAAAAGCAAACTAAGCAGGGGAAAAGAGGAAGATCACTACAGCACGTGTTATGTTTCTTTCTAACCTCGCACCAGCTTCCATTCTGACCTGCAGCTGAAGGGCCTGCCCTCAGGGACGACTTCTGCCAGACACCTAAGTAGTAGTAAAGCAAGAGCCTTACGTACAGCGCTGCCCGTTTCAGACCAAGGACTCCGCTTCCCATACACTCATCACAAAGCTTGCAGCATACCAGCAGTCTCCCAAGAATTACAACCTCCCGCCAAGCTCGATCTCAGCTGTGGGAAAGTTTGCCCCTAGTATGCAGAGGATAAAAACCCATTTCCTGCCCAAAACTTTGCAGTTGAAGTTTGCAGGGGTCACTTTCAACACCAGCCATCTTGATAGTGATATTACAAAGCCTGGACTGTAATTTCCCTTTGCAGTCTGATCGAAAGGGCAAGTGTTAGACAGCTCTCAGCAACAGGAGCCTGGCTTACAAAGGCAGCAGGTGGCCGAAGACGCAGCTTTTCAAAGCTTTTCCAAAGGCGTGGGCCACTAACCTGCTGGAATGCTTTCTGCAAATCCCCCTGGGTGCCTATCTGCAGCTTTTGAGAACTAATCCCAGGATAAACCTAGCCCCAACTGCAACCTAAAACACCCACACAAGCCAGGGGACCGAGCAGCGTATCAGGGCACTTACTTCAGTGCCTTACTGGAGCCTCAGAAGCCTAAGTTTAAGCACTGATACACACGAAAAATCCTAGCAAGCCACCAAGTCGACGGCAGACTAGTCTACCAAAGCAGTCCTAGGCCAGACTCCTGCTTAAACATCATTGCGTCCAGGCCTAATCTGTTCAGCTAACAGATCAAAAAGAATATTGTTCTAACTGCCAACTCCAGAGACTCCCTCTGGGATGCAAGAATCAAATTTCTTCCCCTGCTTCCGAAATTCTCACTGGCAAGATCTTCTGCAGCTGAAAGAACCGAAAACATCGCTAGCGATGGCGCGAGGCAGAACCAAATCCCACTCTTCCCGCTGCAGCACCGGTGCAGAGGTCAAACCCTCATCTTCGGCAGGTCGGAAGAATTGACCGAGAGATGCATACGACGCAAACTATCGTGCTGGTTCCTGTCATGTTTCTAGCCGCAGTGGCGTTGCTAGCCGTTTTCCTGAACGGAGCTCAAACAAGTTGAGATAGGGCTAGCTGAGATAGAGTTACTTCTTGCTGCCTGGCCTGGGGTGTTATTTTTAGGGTAGGATCCGAAGTCACAGAAAAACAGCGAGTCAAAGCGCTAACAGTTTCACCCGCTCTGTTTCCCAGAGCTGCAAACCGCCGCTCTGTTCCCCAGAGCTGCAAACCGAGCGGCGGTGGCGGCGCTCTGCCCTGCCAGCCTCTCCCACAACGTCGCACCAGCCTTCAGGAGAGCTCATCTCGCTCCCTAACGCAATCCATCTTCTACAAAGTACCACGCCAGCTCCCCAAACCTACAGGTTTTCAGTAGCGTTTGAGAAGCTGGCAGGAGGATGTGCCACAGAAACGTGTCAGGGACGTGATTCAAAGGATGCTGTTGAGTAATTCAGGTTCCAAGTTTGGGGGGGGACTTAAAGGGCAAGGGGAGAAGAGGAGGAATGAGTGGATTTTATTTTTGAGTTTGGGGGGTGGTTTTGGTTTTTTTAAGCGAGTGAAAAACTGGCAATGGATTTTGCCGTATCACATTCAGAATCAAAAAGAAAAGAAACCGATTGCACAGTTACAAGTTACAGTTAAAAGCACAGCATAAACACTTCTCTACCAACTCTGAACAATGTCAGGTGTTACAAATACCAGTATTTTTTAATTCAAGCAGAGAACTATTTTAAGCTGGTGGTTTCCCTTTAAGCGTTCCTCTGCATTGTTGGAAACCTAAACACAAGGGTTTCATTTAATGCATGACTGCCAGAAAGAGAAAAACCAACTAGTCTAGTTTCCTTGAATAAAGAGTAAGAGGTGGTACACATCAGTTATGTTTGTAGTCCTCAGTCTGCAGATACAGAAAACTGTTCGCAAAAAAACAGGCAATGAGGGAAAAGGACAGTTCCATCAGCAGGACTTCTTGAGGATTACCACAGTCCCCTGGGTTTTACTCAGAATACACCTGTTTCTGCATTTCTTCTGTGTGCTTCGTTATGTCCTCTTAAAGCAGAGGAGAGGTGATACCCTACCCTTCACCGCTCTTTCCGGTGCTCATACAGTTAAAAGTTCTGTGCTGACTTGAGTAAAGCTCCTACCGCTGTCGGGCAAAGGAAAGTATTAACCTGTTTCACAGATTGGAAAACATGCACAAAGGCTAAATGATTTGCCCAAAGCCACAGGATGACATAGTGATAGCAATGCCTTACCACAGGGTCCACCCTGGCTATTCCAGGGCTTTGTACCGGATCAAAACCGGGGAAGCTGTGAACTCGCTCATCTGTCTTAATCGTACAGAGGTACGTTGTTTCTACATTCATTTGAAGTCTGAGATTGATAGTCAAAGAGGAAGGAGGGGAAGAGGGGAGCGGAGCAAAGCAAGGAGTTTTGTCTGTAAACTAATAAACCCGCAGGGCTCACATGGTGGTCACGCAGCTACCAGATTTCTTAATTAAAAAAGTTTTTTTTTTTAAACAGGGGGGAGGCCTGCACTAGGACTACCTTCCTTATTCTTCACTGCTAGCAAGCAGAGATGCTATGACAACACCTTCTTGCAGAGGTGCTGGGTCTGTCAGAGGGGAACTGGAAACTTCAGCTACTATCCCACACGGAGGTGAAACACTCCTCCTTCCCTCCACCCCCCCCCCCCCAAAAAAGGGGAAAAAACAAGCCTGCAGTTTACAGATCAAAACGTAACCCCTTCATGAAACTCCCATGGAGCACCTACATCCTGAAACACAAATGGAGGAGCGCAAGTGGCAGCGGGATTCCTGCCACAGCTGCCCAATTGCTCAGCGTGCTGCTAAGTTGCAGAGCACGGGCTGGATGGAATCGGCTGCGAAAGGAAGAGGGAGCGGGGCTTGTTAGCTCTCCACTGCGGCAGCAGAAGGCCGTAAAGAGGGAGAGGATATTGGAAAAAGAGATTGCAGCCTCACCGTGCACATCCGCGTGTGCCGACCGTCCT